CCTCAAGGACATACAGCTCCCTTCCCTCCAGAGCATATGGCCGCTATGGTGGCTTTTCAAGGTACGGGGTACCTTCAGATGTGGTCGACCGTATTTGTCTTGTCAGATCCTATGATGAGTTACCAACCACCATTGGGTTTCTTACCCGAGGCTATGGCACAGTTGATGGCACCAATGGGGGATTTACGTATGAATATGATGCCCTATGGCCTCTCCGAGAACTCCACTGCTAACACCTACGGTTACGACAACACGGCTCCTGGTGCCCCTCAGCCTGCTCAAGTGAAGGCACCTGTTGTTGGAGATGTGCCCGGACGTATGACGGTTAGTCTGAGCCATTCTGGTATGACTGCCGCCCAAATCGCCAATCTCTTGGAAGTGGCTTCTTCGACTGCGAAGGCCGCTGAGAAGTAATTTGGTGCGCGAATGATGCGCTCGTGAAAAGGTTGTTGAATTTGATGTATTGGCCAGTTGGCCTCATCTCTATCGGTTAATTCGGTGTCCGCAACCGAGCCTACTGATCTCTTGGTGTTGGATAGGTTGTGAGGTAACGCTATTGAGATATCATGGGTTATGGTGGCACCGATTAATCAATATTGCGCATGATGAGTTGTATTAATGATAATATAGCTGTTGTGTTACGTAGTGTTGAACAGTTGGGTCGCGAATCTCATCCAATGAATTTGTATATGAATGAATTTTCCAAAAATATCAAAGGCCTGATTTTTTCAATCGTCCAGAATGGTGAATATACGTGCCGTTACAGCGATTACCAACTGTAGGCGTACGCACCCCCCGTGACCAAAGTGTTTTTGGACGCCGTGTCGAGTGTTGAGTACCACATTCTTGCGACATAGCAACATGCGTTGTCGGGTACAACACGTCACGTGCAGCAAGATACTCGATGAAGTTCAATTCAGGTGTGTGATCGTAGCGAGGTGGGGAGGGCTGGAGTGGTTCCATAAGCGCCCTTCAGGACGCTAAGAGCACACCAAATGAAGATGCATTACGGTCGGGGAGGTAAAAATGACCAAAATGCTTTTTGTTGAGTTTCAAGTGCGCGACTTGGACTAGCATGTAATCAAGCATGGGGAGTTGAGTGGTAAAGGAATTAGTTTGCGCGTTTCTAGATGGCGCGTGCTGTACCCAAATAGAAATTTGACATTCCCTTAAGAATTACAGTGCTCCAAAAATCAGGAAAGGCAGAGGCATCATCAGGAGTTTCCTGACGAGAGATTGCCGTGACTGCCGAGCCTGCAATACTCATCGTGGGGATTGTCAATGGTGGTCTGCCATCATCGAATAGGGAGTCACCCTGCCCACTCGCCGCTCTGCAGCAGAGCCTCTGCTACTTT